CATCATCATCATCATCATCACTACTGCCATACAGCCTTCCAGATAGGCCTGACTGGATTTAGTACTCTTGACTATCGGATCCTTCCCAAAGATCTAGGATAGTTAAAGATATTGTATGTATGTATGTATGTATGTATGTATGTATAAATAAATAAATATTTCCAAGTAATGCAACTTTTGTACTTGATGAGCTGAGATTCTATTTGTTCCTATTCTGTCCAAGTGCTTTTCCACATCTTCTGGGATGGCACCAAGTACATCAACCGTTGATGGCACCACTATGACCTTCTTTTTCCACATTCACTCAATCTCTGTTTGAAAATCATTATATTTCCCTATTTTTTCTAGTTCTTTCTCATTGACCCCTTTATCTCCAGCTACTGCAGTGTCAATTATCCATATGCCGTTGTTGTTATTATCCATACATCGTCGTCATCATCATTATTACATTGTCCTGTAAAGGTTAAGAGGGTTGTATTGTATTGTATGGTAAAACACTATGGCTGCACATGAGAATACAAAATATAAGCAATTATGTCAAAGAAAATCAGAATGGTGGAGTGGGCCACCATTTTATTATTGATTCTCGAGGAATGCAAGAACGTTATGAAGAGTCATGCTCAACTGGATCAGCTTCTTATTTATCTATCGCTGGGTTCCTACAGTAACCAAGAGAAATACCTTGAGATGGCCACAACTAGACACAAATCCAGTACAGTCTTTCTATTCGTGTTTCACAGTTATGGATATATTGGACATGAAGACAATGGTCTTTTCCATTGTTGTTCAACCCATTCAAATGCCCCCGAGTCAAATTTTAGGGCTGGCATAGAACCACCCATTATTCACTGAAAAACTTTCATTTGCCTAATCTTCTTTTCTAGTGAAAACTTTCTACTTGTCCATGCAGTACTGTGCTGCATTGATTTTATGCTAGATTTTAATAATCCTCTGGTGAAATAAGAACTCCTTTTTTAGTACTGACTGTTAATGATTTTATCAACTGCACCTGGCCCAATGGTAGAACTGGTTTTCTGCAAGCCACTCTATGAGCCTGATGGCTTGAAAGCAAGAGGAAAAATAAAATAAAATAGAATAGAATACAAATCCTAGCAAGTGAGGAAAGCACCTTTCTCTACAATTAAAGAGACATTCATCTTTTTTACAAGGTGAAAAGAATAGGGGAAGGCTATCTACAGAAAAATCTGCAAAAGCAACTTGCTATCTACCAACCCTCTCAGTTGCAGAAATAACCTATGGCAGGGATTGACAACCTTTTCAGGTGTCAGACATCATCTCCCCATTTTACACAATAGCACTGGTGCCATCTTTTTCTTTTAAAAAATGGAATTTGAAAACTTCATCGATTTCCACACCCTCACCACGGAGATCTTACATAACCTCGCCTGAGAAAGCCAACTTCTCAGATGATTTCCGGCAGGGACACCGACGCCTTGTGCAATTTCAGTTACTTTTAATTACGGTTTAATTGGTGAATTACAATGTTGTGGTTTGCCGAGTATCTGGGAGTGTTTACTGGCAGCTTGACACATGTGGGCATTCAGCTGTAACTTCTGAGACGTGGTCCCAAAATCATCTTAGATGGTCTGAGATGGTCTGAAACTGCTGGCATGATGTGGACAACACCCCCCGTAGTGAGTTATTGAACTGTGGTGGGTAGCCTCTCACAGTGAAGTGCTCTGAGATCCTAAGCTGACTTCACCCATCCACAATGTGTATCAGATTCTCCTGGACAGGGAAGAGTCCAATAGGGCTTCCTGCTCTCCTTGAGTTTGATTTAAGCAACATGGCCTTAATTCTTGAAGCAGATGAGGCAGGAATCCAAGATTTCCAAGCCAGAGATGGTCGTTATACAGTCAGATACCAACCACTTGGCTTTCAGGCCATCAAGCACCATGCCAAGTGCCTGTTTATTCAGAAGAGCTGGAGGAAGAAGCCTCAAGTTTAATCTCTGAAGCTATAAAAATTCTTTACAACTTTGCACTGGCCATGGAGAATCTATTGTTCTATATGGCTTATTCTCATCTGGAAGGTGAAAGTCATGTCTGGGAATCTGTGCCAAGCCTAGCCAAGAGGTCTTGTAGTGCCAGGAGATCTGTGATGTATTGCTGAGCCAGACAATTGTTCGGCTCTGATTCCTGGCTTAACTCTCTATCCAGACTCCTGGTTAATTCTTTGATTCTGACTTATGTGATTAACATGGTGTGTCCCATAACTCCACCTCAACTGGACCACAGCTTCTTATAACACAGATGCCAAAGCAAAATGAAATATGTCTACTACACACTGTTTCTGAAATCTGAAAGCAGGGTTAGGGGTCCTGATGCTCTCCTAAGTTCCTTTTTGGACTCCACAGCCTCTGACCACTAGTCATTCTGACTGGGGCTGATGGGAGTTGTAGTCCAAACCTTTGAAGGGCACCAGACTGCCTACCCCTAACTGAAGGCAGCAACAGGGACAAGGTATGATCAGGGCAGCTGAGATAAGATAACCAACTGATGAGATAAGAGGACCAAGAGTTGACCTGATGTTGCCTTGATATTGACAGAAGTCCCCCTAACCCTTGCATTACCTGGCGGGCTCGGAGGGCCACTTTGGCATTGGTGGTCTTACTCAACTGGGTCAGCTCCGTCAGAATGTTAATCAGCTCATCAGTCAACGTTGGGTCTCGGCCACATAACTGGTCCTGTCAAGAAAACAAAGAAATTCTTTACCTGAAGAATCAGCATCAAAGGGAGATCTTATTCTCAAAATATGGCCTCCACCCCAAAACAGCCATAATAGCCCACTGAAATCCAGATACAAAAACCAGCACAGAAGGGCCAAATTTGGGGAATAATGTGCTGACTTACAGGCCTTCATAGAAAAGAGATTCTGGTTTGCTCTTAAGGGAAAAGGGCACTTTTGCTAAAGGAATATGGCTCATATTTTGAAGTGAGGAGATCTATCAGTGGGATAGATCTAAACTGAATCTCCAGCACAAAGGCAGGACCTTATACACCAACCAGTTTCTCCATATGTCTTCATCCATTACTCCTACCAGTTCCAGCCAGTACCGCTATTACTCAGGGATGAGTACTCAGCCCGAGAGAGAAAGACCCAGCTTGTGCAAGGCTGTAACTAACAGGAAACTAATTTTTTGAATGGAGATTGTTCTACAGGTAGTCCCCAGTTTAAGGACGAGTTCCATTCCCAAGGTCTGTCCTTAAGTCGAATTTGCATGTAAGACGGATCAGTATTATTGTATAATACTGTATAAGTAGTATTGTGTAATGAACTCAAAGCATTGTGTTATTTAACTCAAATTTTGCTACAACAGGCTCCGTTCTTAACTACGGGTCGTTAAACCAGCATTCTGTATATCCCAAACACCATCATCTTCAGACAGGTGTGAGAGATCTGTAGACCTGGGGAAAACCCAGGTTTGCAGGAAAGAACCCAAAGAATTATTGGGGAGACAAAAAGAAGCAGGGAAAATTCAGAACACTTCCTGCACAAATGCAAAATGATTAAAATGCAGCATGAAAAAACTCTGATAGGATAACACTGGAATGAGGGGACTTGTAAAAAAATCCAAAGCGGCTGGCACTGTGAAACCACAGCCTTTGGCACTGCACATTTTGTTATAAAACTTTCCGTTGTCCTTTTGGTTACCAGATGGGCTAACGAGAGCTGATCCTTCAGGCTCAGGCCCTGTGTGAATGCTTCCCAGGGGCATTTCCAGGCTGCTGTTAGAATAAGTCACTCCAACAGAAGAGACTTTTGATCCAATCCATGGGAACTCTTCCACCAGCCTCGGACCACCAGCATTATGGAAAACAGCCATGGTTCCTCCTTGAAAGCACTCCGAAGGATTACAGGGGTGGATCCCCCAAAATGGGAAAGCCGTTTAAAGCCCCTTCCTCACCAGAAGAATTCATCAACCCCCCAAAAAACCAAGCCGCGCAGCAGCGTTCCTCTGCTTTCAGCCTGCCCCAATCGGCAAAGGCGGTGAACGAAGCCTCCAACGTGTTCTTTGACAAGGCCTAACGCCTCTCCAGCACCCCCATGTAATTACACACTTGAGTGACTGGACTCTGAAGAAAATTGAAGGCCTGAGCTGCGAACAGCTGCCATTTTTTCTCTCCATCATGCCGGCATGATTACTTGAGAAATGAACAGCCCCAACTCAAAGCTACTCCAGAATTCTCAGAGGAAATATGGCTCCATGTTCAAATAATGAGATTCTTAAGGCAAGCGTTACTTACAATCACACGGCCAAAAAAGGAGAAAAAAAGGAAAGGAAAAGGAAAGAAAAGAAAGGAAAGGAAAGGAGGGAAAGAAAGGAGGAGAGAGAGAAAGAGAAAGAAAGAAAGAAAAGAGCAAGGTCTTTATATGGCACAAATGAGTACTTAAGGAAGGTGATGGTGGTTCAGATAGCCATTACGTGTCAGTCGTTCTAACAGGGTGTGCTTGCCTGCGAGAAGGAAAACAGGGTCTTGTTTAAATTTTTAGCTGGGAAAATCAATTTCTGGCGACAGGAATCCTCCAAGTCCTTCGCCGAAAGAGAAAAAGGAGCAGAAACGCAGGAAGAGGCGGCCGGCTTGGAAAGCTCAACTCTATTAATTAGCGTCTTTGAAAGCATGACGCAGACCATGATGGATGCCATCAATCCTGGGGTTAACTCTCCCACAGGCTACATAAAAAAGGCATTTTTCTTTGCTCAAGTGTTATTTTAAAATACCGTAGTCAAATGTTTTTACCCCTCCAGGTCATGGAGAAAAGGAGAGGCATTGTCTGTTTTTATCTTTCTCGTTGGGGTTGGGGGACGTGGGGGACGTCAGTGGCCGAGCCAGAAGAGCTGTCACAGCACCCGATTTTGAAATGAGAGACTTTGAGGTGAAAGAAGAGATGCTCATCAGACCTCAAGTATGGCAGACGCTGGCCTGCCCTCTGTTAGAGCCGAGCAAGAAATGGGTGGATCTGCAACCTTATTTCAGGACAATTTCATACGCTTTAGGGATAAACAGGTGGCGGGTTGGTGCATTTTAAGGGGGACAGGTGAGAAGGCAAATGAGGAAAAATCTGGCTATCCATTTTGAAAAGGTTTGTGCTCAGCCTGCCATTATAACATGCAACCGATTGTCTCACCCACTGGAGCTCCACAGGAAAGACCATCCGATGCTTCTGCACACGAAGCCAGATTGTTCCCCTTTCGCCTTTTCAAACCGGAGGAACGTTTTGTTAGTCACATCTTAAAGACAACCACCTGGATACGTCTTTGTGGATTATGGGGGCCCACGGGCTCTACGGCTCTGTTTCTCAACCTTAGCAACTTGAAGATGGGTGGACTCCAACCCCCAGCATTCCCCAACCAGCAATGTTAACATGTGTGGACTCCAACTTCCAGAATTGTGGCTGGGGAATGCTGGGAGTTGAAGTCCACCCATCTTCAAGTTGCTGAGATTGAGAAACACCGCTCTAGCACTGAATAGCCTCTCCAGCAACAGAAGCATGCACTAACCAGCTCTTCTCGCTTTGGAGATGTTGCTAACTGTAGAAGAGTTGAAAAGCTTGCTAGAACAGATCGCTGCCCGCTATAGTTTGGTGTTAATAGTAACATGCTTCAACAGTTGGAGATAATACATATATATGTGTGTGTAGCACATGCATATATACGTATGTGGAACCACAACAACAACTTGTGTTTGGCCTGACTCCTGTGGCTTGCTCATGGACGTGCTCTTCGCAACAGTTTGGACAGGTCTTGGCACTGCTTTCTCTGGAGATGTTTTCTGATGTCCCAGCATAGCCTTCTGTCTATGGGATTTCCAGGTGGTGCCCCTTCTAAGTCTTACCTAGACCAATCCTTCTTAGTATTTCCATTTTAGGTTTAGCTGGCTGTCACCTCTTGTAGGTAAAGATAACATCTCCCTGGATTCAAAATCAGCCTACAGCCATGGAATCTCTTGGTGGTCTCCCATCCATGCACTAATTAGGCCTAATTCTGCTTCTCTTTTTCAGGATCAGCCAAGATCAGCTGGGTGATTATACAGATATAGGTATAGATATAGCTATATATAATGTAGGTATACACATATATACATGTAAATGTAACTATGTTGTATGAGCAGGCACGGGTGTATAATTTTAAACAGCATTTTTAAACATCTCCACACAATCTGGTGATGTTCTAGATCAGTGTTTCTCAACCTCAGCACCTTTAAGAAGTGTGGACTTCAACTCCCAGAATTCCCTAGCCAACATGCTGGCCGGGGGATTCTGGGAGTTGAAGTCCACACCCCTTAAAGTTGCTAAAGGTGAGAAACACTGTCCTATGTGACAGACAGTTGATAAATATTTTAAATGATAAACATGATTTGCTTCCTTTGTTTAAAACTAAACATAAATCTGTTTCCTGTATACAGATATACTGTAGCTTAAGATGTATTATCTTTGATTGAAACATGGTCTGTATTGCAGCCTACCACAGGTTATGAATTATCTTCAGAAGGAATAGTAACAACTGTTATGTTATTTAAGAAATTATTGTACAACCAAGATTGTAGGTAGGAAAAAAATGTACATCTGAGTTTGCTGACAGACAGGTGTAAAATATCTTTCTTCTTTATGACCTATATAACCCATCTTTCCTTTAGCAGATACATGCTATATCATTATAACACCCAGTGAGACGCATCAGGTCGATGGGTGATGAATGGCCCCACATCGCCTAGTGAGCTTCATGGAAACTTCAGTACAGGGCCCCTAACCTGTACTAAACCTAACAGTTTTAGACACATAGCATAGTGGCTCAAAACTTAGAATAATCACGGCTTCTTCTGATCCATTTTTAAACAATTACAGCATTTTTAAATGGCTCGCTAGTCAGAGCCTTGTAGCATCGCTATGCTCTAATTACAAGACACACACCAAATATTTTGCTGCTTATGGGGGAGCAGCCAATTATCTCTCCCAGATGCTAAAATACAAAAATATTTTTTGAAAGCGAATAAATGAAAAGGACCCCAAATCTAATGAAATATCATGGGAGTTTTTTCAAGATATGGCTATCTCAAGAACCTTGGCTATTTGTCATGAAAAACAAGATCATTTCTAAAAGTTGGAGGTCAAAGAAATACCTCTAATGGTGATGCAGATCTGATGGCCAACGCTCAAGTTATTGTACTGAAGGCCCAAAACGGAGGAATAAAATCCCACAACATTAATAAATTAAATAACAATGGTTTATCTTTTCACAGCAGCTAAAATCCACTACTCAGTGGCTCCTGGTCTGGTCTAATACCAGGAGTTCCACCCCATTCCTTGGAATCTGAAACAGGACAAACGCAGACCAGTCATCCCCCTTAGCTTCTTCAACACCTGGGTACAACTCTCAGTTATGTTTCAAATAGTTTACTGAAGAATGTTAAAGAACTTGTGCCCAAGAGCTCCACTTACAATAAGCATTGTCACAAGGAGGTTCTTCTTGGTAGCTTGGGCGTGGGAAAAGATGTAGTTGAGGACAGTGTTCATATCACTTTTGTTCTCCTCTCGAAGAGCAAAGACACACTTATCGTAGTGACCTGCAACCAGAAAATCAACCATAATATTTATAAATAAGAGTTGCTTTATTACAAGAAGCTACCTTACACAGTCTATCTCCAACCTACTTCAAACTTCCTCTAATTGGGTGCATTCCTGATGTATGGCCTTCAACTCCCAGAATTCTCAGTGATGCCTGTGATGGATGGGGAATTCTGGGAGTTGAGGACTATATGTGATGGAATGGAATTATGAAGGCCAGGCTCAGGGAGAAAAACATTTTCTTACATC